CTACGAGCACTGCTGAAGACAATCTTCCACTGTTTTCCTCAGTCAGTCTGAACCACAGAGAAGTTTCCCATTACTGCATTTTGTCTTCACTTCTCCTTCCCTTAAGGGCAATTTTATGAAACAATCTGACTTTTTTTTTTTCTTTCAAATTTTTCTCTAGCACTGTTTTCCCTGTTTTATTGCATTCTGTCTGTACCTTAACCCACCACAACTGTTTCTAAACCTATGCCTTTTCTAGCTCTGACTTACTCAACCTCCATTTCCTCTTTCCCTTTCTTTTCTAAGTTTCTCATTTAGAAATCACATTTCATAATCCTTTTTGGCAGCAAGATGGAAGTGTCATGTACTTGCTGGTGTGCAGATGCTTTCCTCCCAAGTCCAACATCCTTTTCATCCAGCCACTAAAAGAAGTTGATTCTAAAGACAGATTTAGTGGTAGATACATGGTTAAGTACTATCTAGTTAAAGCTATGATATGCTTTATTTAGAGAATTTTAAAACAAATTGAGACTGAATGTGTAGTCTCCAAATTGATTTGTTAATCCTCTACTGCATCTGTATTTTTTTGAATTTCACGTTCCAGCTAGTTAATTTCTTAAACTCCTAGCAGTGGAAGCTTAAAAAAGAGCCATAAATGAAAGGAATTAAAACAGAAAAAGAACTGAACACAATATTTCCCTTGTGGAACCTTAAAAATGATTAGTGCCACTTTCTGTAATGTTCAGACCAGACATGATCTTCTGGCAAGCCAGTCTTCCAGGATAACTGTCAAGCAGACTGATTACCAAAAAACAGGCAAATGGTATAGATGAATTTCAAGCTTTCAAGATCAATGTGAGATGTCCTTACCCCTCCTATTCTTTGACAGAAAATCAAAAAAAAAGGGGAACACAAAATGTGCCAGAGGGAGACACTGATTCCATGCAATCAATAATTTTGATTTTTATGATGTCACAATTCAGCAGTAAATTAGGAATCAGAGGATCTACCAAGAAATGCCAGATGGTTCATTATGAAATACACCAGCTGTCCTTTTTCCTCAAACACCTCATTTTAAACTGGTGAAAAATGAAGTTACTTTAATATACCCTGTACAGCTCTATAATAAAAACAGACACCAAAATAAAGACTGAAATATCGAGCTACTCAATGGATTCAGCTACTCTACCATCCTGATGAAAGTCATCTAATCACTCAGCTATTTCACAAAACAGATCACACATTTCGACTCAGGTACCTCTGCTCTCAACACCATATTGGCTCTTGCTAACAGAGTTCATCGTGTCAAGGTAGACAAGCAGATAAAATAGCCGGTTCACATAAACTGGATCAACACCCATACAGTTCAGCTACCAAGGGCATGAGTTGCATGTATACATTGTACATCAATCCTAACAAGGGCAGACAGCGTGATTCCCATCAGATGCCATTTCAAAGGTGGCTCCCTCATTAAGTGCCTGGGAATGGAAAGCAAAAGAAGTTTTAGAGAGATATATACGAATGGCTTGAGACAAAACTCCTTAGTTCAACAGATTAGCAATACACCTATTTCCAAAACACCTGTATATTTGAATGGAAAGCAGGGGGTAAAGAAATTACTCAAAATCCATTATGTGTACTATCTTTAGGTGCTACCTTTGCAAAACCAAGAGTTCACAACAGTTAATAAATAAACCCTTGGGTTTATAAAAAGATAATTTCTTAGACATACTGGACTAAAACTCTCCCCGTTTTATTTCATTTTTATTAAAGGGATTCATTTGATGTACTTTAAGAATATAACAGACTATGTGTATTCTTCAGAGCTCAGTCTCAGTTATTACAGCACAGCCAAACTCTTTCCACTAAGATTTGTTAGATAACAGATCTATCCCTCAGCCAAGCATGAAGATGTAAGCAGAGCAAAACAAGTGGTGTAGGGGGACATTTTTCACATTGCCTCACAAAAAAAAACCCAATGCAAGTTAATTCTTGTCAGTTTCCTAGCTAAAAAAAGAACACTTAATTCCTATGTGAGTGTACTAGCAAAATCTAAAATACACCCCCGAAAAAAATTTGTACGCTTTGCTCACCTATGTAGCTGGTTTATATGTTTCTGAATTTCAATCCTTCAAAAACTTTTGGAAGGTTACCCAAATGTATCGTTGTTAGATCTGCAGCCACAACTTCTCAACACTAGTATCGTAAACTACATTAGTTGGGGACTAACTGTACATACTCCTTTGAGAGAAGAAAGAAATAAACTCATGGACTTTACATAAATGTATTCCTATGAGTTTCTTTTACCCTCTTGGAAAATGCCAGCCATCTCTGAGTGTACTGGTTATTTGGGGGAAAAAAAAAAAGGGTTTAGGCACCAGGATCCCTTTTTAATTTCAAATACTTCATATCTCATCTTTCTATTACTGTGTTACATGTCTAGGATGAACAAGAAACCAGTGAAACAAAGCAACAGATCAGCAATATAAAGTTTAGATATGGCATTGAAATACAGGGCTTACAAAACTCAAGAGAAACAAGCATTTATCTGTATTTCCAAACAATTTCAAAATAAAATTTAAAAATTTCCATGTTGTATTACTAATTGAAATGTTGGAATGTGAAAATAACTTTTTCTCCCTTAAGCTGTTTATATGATTTTTTAAAGTTCTTTCCACCTTAATAGCCTACAGTTCTAATAAACACTTGACACAGAGTTTCTTTTAAAAATGTCTCTTCTTTCAAGTATTTTTAAAAGACGGTTAAATTGATCCACTTTAAAAGACAATGTTTATACTACCTCTTTTTAGCAGTATTGCAACGTTTTTGACATAATCCACAGGTGCTTCAAAATATCCTTTCTGAGCACTTTTATATGTCTTTAATTAGCATTCATTTCCTGTCTTGGTAACAAAAGACCATGTTACACACTGGAGAACATTATATTTGAACTGGAGGTGGTTAAATTTTGCCAGAGCTGAATGTTTTCTGTTAAACACAGCTTTGCAGAACACTGACAACGATACATGCTGTGCAGTTAACTCCCTTTTATTTGGCACTTTCTGTCTGAAGGACCTAAAGCACATTACTGAGCTGGGGTAGAAACTACCAAAGAAATCTGTATTTTCTGCTTTGCTTAGGTTTAGTTAGCCACTCGGTGACTTTTTTGTTGTACTTAAGCATGTATGTTCAACCTAAGAAGATGGTAAGCAAAAGGAAGTTACTGTCTTCCCAGCCTGCCTGTTGTTCCTCATCTATGGACAGCTTTTGCCAAAAATCCACTGTTTTCTGTGTTTATTTGGACAGCGATGTATTAGCTCTACCTATAGGTGGAGAAATAGAGGTGAAGTGAGTAACATGAGCTGAAGTCACATAATAAGCCAATGTCATTTGGTAGAATATGCCTTTACTCTTCAGCTACTCTTTTACATCACCAATACTGCACTTCTAGAAAGTAGTGACAAAAAAGCTTTATTTCTGTGCATGGGTCTCAAACTAGGGTGCATGAAATGTTAACACCTCCAAGCAGTAAGTCAGGGTGCCATGAATCTGAGTAAGGTACTTCATTCCCTTAAGGACCACCTGTGAACAGAAAGGGACACAGTCATTTGCCAATCACCTGCAATTCTGCTGACTGCATTGCTGGCATTAAAGTATCACTTTATTAAGTTTAATTATCTGTGATTTTCATAGCACTCACCATTTAGATTCAATCTTTGTACAACACTGGTTTTGTAAGCTTACTTTTATGTGTTCACATTATCACTCAGGGGATGGTCCTGAAACTTTGGTGCCCTACCTTTGTGTTGAAACTATCACCACATTTGAAGCCCAAACACCAACTCTGGTTGTTTTCTGACTATACAGTCTAATTAGTTGAGCTACCTTTTTCCTAACTGCAGTCCTCAGAAACTGCCTTATTTGAAATACGAAGTTTACATAGGCCACAGCTATGGAGACAAGTATATCACTCCTCAATATCAGAGAGCCCCTTTAGTGCTCAGGGCAAACGAGGTGATACTGCTTACCTGGTGGATGAAACACGTGAAGAAACTGGACAGCCAGGCAGTCACCGGGGGGGACCCTGGCACCTCAGACCATCCCCTGGGCTCGGGGCTGTGGCCAGGCCTGGTAGCCTCTCGCCCTGCGGCCACTGCAGCACGGGGCTTCGGGCATCAAAGGAGCAGCATGACGGCTTCCCAGCTGCAGGTCGGAAACCACCACCCAGCCTAGCTCTGTGGCCCAGAGGAGCAGCGTCTGCCAACCCCATACGCGGCCGACTCTGGAGAGGAGGTTTCCCCATAAAGGCGGCGTCCTTGACCCCGCCAGAAGACCCGCACAACTAGGCGACCACAGCTTCTGCTCTCCTCCTGACTGTGTTAGCACACTGGACCGCGCCTAATTCTCCTTCCCCGCCCCCCACCCGCCGGGTCAGCCATCCTCCTCACCTTGGCACCTCCCTCTCGAGGCCTCCTTCACGCCGACGTCCTCGCCCACTTCTCGCTCCGCGCCCCTCCGGCTGCACCGCCATTAGCCCCTGCAGCGGGCACCCGCCTCTCCGTTCGAGTGGCGCGTGTGGGCAGGCGCCCGGCGCTGAGACGACGCGTCGAGGGACGGATCCGTGAACGAGGGCCGGGGCGAGGGGAGCGGCGGGGTGGCTTGGGGGTGATTCAGGCGGCTTCTGCGGCGGGAGGCGGCGGGCTGCATGGCACGGGTGGCCGCGGCGCGGCCCTTGGGGCAGGGAAGGTGTGGGGCTGCTTCCTAGTTCCCTCTGCGCGGTGAGGGGCTGCTCCGGGCTGGGGGGGGGGGGCAGTGGGCGATCGGTCGTTGGTGGTAGTGGGCTTGCTTTCGTCAGGAGGCCTGAGCTTGTTTGCTGTCAGGCTGTGACCTCTGAAGCCTTAGCGAGGTTGTACTACTCTCATGGTTGGGCCTCTGCCTGCCTTAGGTGCTGGGGTAGCTGGAGTGCTGCTGGTAAAGGTGCACTGGTGAGTGGATTTTGTTACTGACTTTAGGCACGTAGGATGCCACAGTTAAGGTCGGGGAAGGTGGTAACTGGTAGGGATGTCAAGTTGGCTGATGAGATGGTCACCAGCCCAAGCTCTCTGGGTGCTGGGGTAGAATGTGAGGCAGGGAACATGTTGGCAGTTAAGCAGAGTCATCACCTGGCACCTGAGAGAAAACCTGAGCAGCCCTTACCTTGTTGTCTGCAACCTGCCATGCTCTCCAGCATTCTGTGCGAGCAGTTTGCTCCTCCTGCAGCCATGCAGGAGCAAGGTGAGAGTAGCCAGAGACTCCCAGGTAAAAAAAACAAGCAGATACAATGCAGGAGGATTTCCAGAATCAGCAAGGGTCTAGAGCTGCCAATTTCAGACACTGCTATATGTGAAGATTGGCAGGCAGCAACTGTGGCTGCAGTCACATGCTGGGAAAAGACTGAAAGGAGAAGGACAGAACAAGGTCAGCAGCGATTTTTCTCAGAAACTACTTTGCAAAATAAATTCTTGGCAGTGATTGAAACGAAAGAACAGAGCTCAGAAGAACTAAACCACTCAGCATTCCAGGAGAGTTCAAGGATTTTGGGAGAAGAAGGCAAGTATTCTTTTATGGAAATAAAGTTACAAATCGCATCCTCAGAGGAGGAAATCAAGAGCATAGAGAGACATGGAATTTCCTGTTTGCCAGAACCAGAGATGCTGAAACCCAGAAACAGTACATACAGTACTGAAGTGAAAAGCACTAACTCTGTAATGATACTGAAGATGCAAATCCCATCTCTTGAGAAGGCTCAGGAATCCTTGCCTGAACCAGCAGTTCAGGAAGAGGCAGGCCCAAAAAGTAAGATGGGTATAATAGAATCATAGAATAGTTGTGGTTGGAAAGGACCTTAAGATCATCATTTTCCAGCCCTTCTGCCATGGGCAGGGACACCTCACACTAAACCATATTACCCAAGACTCCATCCAACCTAGCCTTGAACACTGCCATCCAGGAATGGAGCATGCACAACTTCCTTGGGCAACCTGTACCAGCACCTCACCACCCTCACAGTAAAGAACTTCCTCATTATATCTGACCAAAACTTCCCCTGTTTAAGTGTGAACACATTACCTCTTGTCCTGTCATTAGAGTCCCTAATGAAGAGTCCCTCCCCAGCATCCTTGTAGGCCACAAATTCTTTAATTGGATCAAGAAAGTCAGGGGCGCAGGAGAAAGGAAAGAGATGCTTGAGCAAGAAAAGCAGGGCCTTAATGAAACTAAAACTACAAGGGCCCAGAAGGGTAGATGTGCCTTGCTGGAACTGCATATGCAGCGTCCAGAGTGCAAGAGAGGAACAGTGAATCTGGGGGAGATGGACAGAAATGCATTGGTGTCACAGTGGCTACAGGGTTCAGGTGGCCAAGAACAACTAATAACCAGCGGAAAGATGCACAAGCATTGCATGAAAGAAGAGCAGCAGAGCTCAAACCCTCAGGAAGGAGCAGACAGTCTAGTTGAAAGTGATAAGCACTTTTGCCCTGTTGCAGAAGTACAGGTGCAGAATTTGGGTTCCTGGGACAAGGGACTGGAGCTGCAGTAAGACCCTATTAAAAAAGTGAAAAAACAGGAGATAATATTTCTTTTGCTGATGTATCTGCGTGGGACAAAGACATGAGCACAAGAAAGAGTGGCCTGTACTCTTAGTTAAAAACAACTCTTAGTGGATGGCTACTAACTTAGCACAAGAATGCAGATTTACGAGCTAGTGTCTGCTTTACAGTACTGTGAATACCAGTCTTAGGAGAAAACAGAATTTTAGGAAGAGGAAAGATTTTTATTGAAGGAGAAAGGTGGTTCTTTAGCACAAAGGAGAGGAGGCCAGGTATTCTTTCTGGGTGCAGGGGGTGAAAGTGGCATTGGCACCGACAAGTCCCAAGTAAGAAATTTTTATTCTTTTTTCCCCTCAGAAGTGGTCACTTCATGTACACATAGAAGGTCAGGCACAAGCAGGAAAGCAGCCAGTAGTTTCAGCAAAGCCTAAAAAGAAAATAGTTAATTCTTCATTCATCTGTGTATTATCTGATTGGTTTTGAATATGCAGCATGCTGTCTTGTTTTGCTGCTTGCCTTTATAGGTTTTGTTTTCAGAACTTCGTTTTTAGTAGCTATTCTCTGCAAAACCCTGAAAGATGTAGAAAAAAAAGATTGTGTTTTGGTGTTAGAGAGTGTTGTATCAATATGGAACAATTTTTAAAGAATTTTTAAAAGTCACATTTTTTTCAGGATAGTTGTCTGAGAGACATTCTTTTTACTTTCAAAGCGGGTGCATTCAAAAGACAAGTATTTGCTATAGATTATTATTAATATTTTATCTATAAACCATATTCTAAAAAAAACCAAGAGAGAGACATATTACAACTGTATCTTTCTTACTTCGAAAAGTAAGATCTAAAACCCTCAACATTCTACTGGTACATTCTTGAGTCCATTCTCCAGGTGAAACTTTTGGATGTACAGTTTTTTACACCATCTTTATTTTTAAATAAAAGGAGTACTTCATAAAAATGCAAGTCCCACAGTTTTCCTGAATCTTCTTGAACAGACTGATGCATTTGGTTGGACTATATATCTAAAATAAATTACTATATTCTTAGGAACAAGTTTTCCTAATACAGAGAATCTACTGTGTAAACAAAAGATTGTACAGCCAAGTGTGCCAACAGAATCTGCATTTTCTTGCCAGACTTGCTCTAATTTGGTTTCTACCTATGTCTTAAATATACTACTTCCAATGTCTTTTATGACACCTTAAGGTCCTTCTTACATTTGTATCTGAAGACAAAATATAATTTGTTACTGTAAGTCTGCTATTAGTGCTAATTTAAAGTAAATTAGTAAAACTTTACAGAAGTGTTTTAGCTTTATATGGCATGTTCATTAGCAGCCTTGTTCTGTTCTGTATAAAAAAGGTATTGCAATAGGGTATTTTTTTCCCTTAGCATACTCTTTAATGGCATTTCTTTGTTTTTTAATCAGTGAAGGAAGAATGGAAAGCACCTGAGCAAGATTCTGGTACACAGGCTGTGAAGAAGCTTAAGACAAATCAAAACCCATCAGAAGATTCTAAGGAAAAGGAACCTCACTGCTGTGAATCTTCTGCAGTTGCTGCTTTAGGTGGGATCCAAAGCAAGAACTTTCTATGCCATTCTGTAACAAAACAGTCTGGTGTGCAGTATAAAAAAAGGAAACCCAGAACTGATCAAGTCAAATGCTTGCAAAGTTCTAGCGTGACTGCAGGTGAAGAAGTGAGAAGCATATCTGCAAAATGTGATGCTGAACATTGCAGAAAAGCCCTAAACCATTGCAATGGCTTGTTCTGTGCAACAGAAAAGAATCCATTTGTGAGATTAGAGGACTGTAGTTACATCAATACATTTGTGAAGTCTTCAGCTAGTGGAACTACCAGCAGTTACAAATTGAATGGATTCATCCATATAGCCCAGGATAAAGGAAAGCGTGTTTTTCCTGATGGTACTGTAGAACAGAGCACTAGTAGAATGCAAAACAAAGGATCACCCATAAAAGGTGGTTTATTGTTGAATAAAGAAAAATCTCAAAACAGAGAAGAGTGTTTTTCATGCTGTCAGAGCAAAACCAGTAAGTCTTTAAGGGGAAAAAAGTTGAATACTGGTAGAAAGCCTAGGAAAAAGAAGAAAATTGCTGAGAAATCAGCAATGCAGAATATATTCAGAGACACGGCTAATGGCAGTGAGTATGAGTTACAAGCAGAAGCAGCACTTGTCAGGTCAGGTTCCTTTGAAGTCTTGGGACTAAATCATGAAGAAATTACTCTGTCACCTTCATGTGATCATACATCAAATCTTCATGTAGGAAGAAATACTCATGAAGCAAAAAATACATCAGTCTGGAGAAAGAACAGTACCAAATCACTTGCGTTTGAAGATGGCTTTAAGAAGAGATCTGAGTTCTCAGTAACAGCAAAAGAAGAAAATTCAAACAGTGTGGCACATCATTCTGCTGCCTCACGTAGCCTGAAAGTGCTAGCTGATGAGGTCCGTGGTGTTTCTAACAGTCACAAAAGCAAGACAGTTAAAAAATTGAACAAAGTTAAGAAACTGCATCAGATTACCTGTCAAAGAACAGTACCTATGACTGGTAAAAATGTTTGGCCTTTTGAATCTTGTGCCAGGACTTCTGAATGGGTTCATAAAAATCCTGGGTCTAGCTCAGAAGGAAAAAGACTTGTAAGGGCTGCCTTCAAGGAATCCTCTGATCAAAGCAGTGTTGAAACTGTAGGAAGCAATGCTGTGACTAGGAATTTGAGACAGTTGGATTTACCTAAGTCATTGGAAAAAAATAACGAAGAATCTACATGCAAAATAATAGATGCAAATACTGAATGTCTGACTTCACTTGAAACATCAGGATGGTCTCCCATGAATATTGATGAGACTTTGAGAATGAGCAGTGAAAATGTGGAATCCCCCGTTCATACACATAGAAGTGCTGTGACTTTCAGCCATGAAGATGTGCAAGAATTTAAAGCAACCTTGAATTTTACAACAAAGCAAACAAATAAAAAAAAAGGAACTGTAACAAAAAGAAACCTGCCTGTGACAGTCCGGAAAGGTACATCTACACGTGACACACACAGAAAGAACTTGAGCAATAAGACATCAGTAGTGAAAGAGACGTTTTCTGATTTAAAGCTAATGAAGGTATTAAACACAGAAAACCTGACAAAATTCAAAATTCCTTTATGCAGAAACAAACCTGAATCCAGGAAATTGGAATCTCTCCGTTCATTTGAAAGAAAAACCTTTAGTCCACTAGAGCTTTTTGACATTAGCGTTTCAAGAAGGCAGAAGATGGGTGAAGAGACTTTCTTGGTAGATTCTGAGCAGCAGCCTCTTGCTATTGCAAGTGATGCTACATCTATAGCTTCGACAAAAGAAAAAGCAGATGAGATCAGCAGTAAGGGCTTCCAGCATGATGGCCCTAAAAACCTTTCAACCTTGTCTACTCTCTCTGAACATTCTTCTTTATATCCACATCCTTTTCCTGATGGACAGCCAGAGTCACCTGTGCCTGATTTCCATGGTACTGAATGTGTACTAAAATCCAGTTTTCCTGATCATTCGTGGAATGCAGTTGACCACCCTGTTGCATTAGAAATAAATGGTGGTAGCAAATCAAGTAGAAGTCTTTCAGAACACCAAAGTCAAAATATTCCAGATATTCTTGATGCTTACAAGGAAGATATTCTTGTCATTGATGTGATTCAGGATGACCCTGACCTTTTTGGATACAATAATGCAGAGAAGCTTGAACTTGCAGACTGTAAAAATTGTTCTGTGAAGGAGTCCTATGATAGCATCTCCATTAAGGATGAAAAGCAGGATCTTAAGCCTGAGTGGCCTGTTACCTCAGAAAAGAAAGATTCAGTAGATGATCATTTTAGGTATGCATATCATTTTTCTTTACTACAATAATCCTAAATACTTTGTTCTCATATCAGTCTACTTTGGTTGTAGTGGTCAGGCTTCCTTACAGAATTTTTTCAATTTGTTAGTTGAATTTAAATGTCAAAATTTGATTGAGGTATGACAGTATTCTGAATGCAAATAATTTGTTTTTCATAAGAACTAGGATTATATCTGCATTGAAGGAAAATACAGTCCTAAAGAACTGGTTTAGACCAAGTGAAGTGAAACATGGAAGTATAAACAAAACTTAGGAAGAGTAATATTCTTGACTAATAATGTTTTTAAATATCTGACTTGATTTGAGATAGCAGATATCTCTTTGAGAGAATTTTTTTAGTTGTAAGGTGGTAGAATTATTAGCATGCTTTCTAGGTGTCCCTTATTCTTTTGCTGGATCTGTACAAGTAAATGGTTGTCTCTACAGTAGTATTCCATTCTGCCATTCTCCTCTGCGTTTCTTCTACCCCCAGATATGTGAGTATTTTTCAAATCTGTAATGTAGCTTACATGTTATAGATGTTTATGATCCTGACATTAATGACTAGGTAATAAGGTTTTTGGAGGGTTGAGATGATAATAAAAGTCACTGAAGGGGGAAGAGAAGTTTAAAGTAGAAAAACTTTCGTAGAAGAGATAGTAGTCGTTCATGGGACAGAAGAACTCATCAACTGTCTATACTAGTACTCTAAACTGTGATGCTTGTGTTTGATAAATGAGTTTTAAGATCACATTTTTCATCATACAAAGGAAAACAGAGCTTAGATACAAATAATGCAAGATTTTCCTCTGAAGATTTTTTTTTTTTTTAATTGGGAGGGATGTTCTAATTTTCTTCCTGTGCACTTTCTGGTTGGCTTTATCCTTATTTTAAATGATGTTTTAATAATTTTCAACATTATGCCACTGCATTAATTTATTTTCCTCTTTGCTCTCCTTATCCTTTCCCCTCCATTAAACCCATGTGCAAAAAGAAGAAAAAGAAGAAAATCTTCTCTGAGGTACTGGACAGTTTTTTAAACATGAGAATATAAAACTTTCAGTTGTTAATAAAATATTTTTGCAGAATCAAGCTTATGCAAAAACAAGCCTCTGAAGAACGGCAAATCTTCAGTAGGAGCATTAAACTTCTCAAGAAGCAGCTAGGCTCTAGCATAATAAATTTACTAGGATTACTATTAATTTTGTGTACAGTGTATATATTGTGTCCTATATACACTACGTAACAGAATGAGTGTTTGCTGTATATTACCCCAGGGTAATAACGGCTGTTCTGGGATGGCTTCCAACTGGCTGTCTAGACATTGCACAGAATGGAAGATCAGAACTTTCAAGCCCTTTCCACTCTTATCTTGGTTATGGTAGTAAAGTTTGATATTTGTATAGATGCTAACTGAAAATTTTATTGGATCTTGTAAGTACTTTGTAGGGAGGATAAATATTTCCTTCAAGTAGTAATGACACTGCGAGTAACATTATCACAACCTTTAGAGAGATGAAAACTGAACTTGTTTGAAGTCAAATTTCAGCTTTCTTCCTGGATCTGCTGAATTTGCTTGCCACCAGCCAAGGAAAGTAAAAATGCAGACCTCTTATTTCTTAGAATTTCCCCTTAATTTGCTAAAGAAGTAGGCAAAATTGTCTGTTTTTTTCAAATTCCATAATTTAATGCAAAGAACGTTAGATAGTGACTGATCAAAGTTGTTAACAGTCAGGAACATACTAATGAACTGATTATGACAATATTAAAATAAGACAATAAACCTTACTACTGTTTTATCAGGTAGCTTATATGCCTTAATAATAACAGATAATGACCAGTTCATACTGCTATGTTTTTTTTGTTAGTGTTCGCCAGACACAACTGGGACTTCAGCAGTTTTTGCCAAAGTGATTATGCTGGCAGAGTCACACTGACATCATACTACATGTTTTAAAATAAAATACTCTTTCTGTTAATATCCTTTCTAATTATTTTTTTTTTCTTTAGAGTTATTCTAGGCTATTGTGTGTGTTTTCTTGTTTGGCTTCTTATTGTATGCAAAACACTTTGTTACAACATTAGCTTAATAATAGGTTGTAACGATACTTCAACCTGCCCATGTAGAACAGTGAGTCAGAACTGCACTATCATAAACCATGTCTAACTTGTATAAATATTAGTTTATATTCATGTTTTGTTTAACATTTGGTTAATGTTAGCCATTACACTCTAGATGAATGTAATTTGGTGATCTTAGGTAGAAGAGCAATACAAACACTTACTGGTTGCACATGGTGGCTGTTGCTGAATGTTTTCTTTAGCTCTATCAATGCATAGCTTTTGTTATGGTTTCCCTTCAGATTAATGAGAACAGGCAGATGGTGATAGAAAGAACCTGGATCTTTGTTAAAACTGTTTTAGTGCATAAATGCATGAGGATGGATTTCAGTACATCTTCTATACTAATACTTTGATCTGGCATTGGTACAGAGCAGTAGGAACTGTAGTTCTGCTTGCAAGTTATTCTGACAGTATAGCTGGGTTCTAAAAAGGTTTTTAGGATGTGTCAAGTGTTAATGATGAGTTTAATAGCATTTAAGTTGTAACTGCAAGGGAAATGGCTGGTGCCTTAATTTGTAGTGTTCTTCCCACTACAAAAATCTGAGATCTAGCAGCTTGCCAAAATGACAGTTCCTATAATGAAGTAATATTTTTTGTTCAAGTTGCATTGAGAAACCAAAGCACTGAAACTGTGTGAAGGTTGTACCTGCTTGATTCAGCCACTGACAAGTGTTTGGTGGCAATTACTAGCCACTGGAGATGCATAACTATTAGTGTGGATCCACTTTGTTTGAGTTTTGAATTTAAACACCAAGACATGTTTAGCTTTGACTGTGACCTTAAAAGATAGAGGAGTATTTTTAGTTACAAAAATTTAAGGATAATAATTTTTGGCTTCCAAATTTCAGATGAGAGCATGTGTCCATCAAAAGGAGAACATACTGGTCACAACAGTGATTGAGCTCCAAAATTTAAATAACTTCTGTTTCACACTACACAATTAGGAGAATCTGGTAAAGATTTGGAAGTAGCTTTTGACCTGAGTATGAAGATTTCAGTTTCTTGATGCTGTTTAATATTTTCAGTTTTAAGCAGTGTTTATGAAGATGACAGCTTTCTGGAACTGTCTGCACTGCAGCTTTACAAAAAGAAAGTAACATTACAGGCAAAATCACTCAAACTTTGCATTTCACATACAGTGTGGGGGAGAGGGGAAGTAAGCCTACAGAGAGCCTTGCCTGTAATAAATAACCTTCTTGTCTCTGCAAACTTGCTGCAACTTACTCAACTTTGCTTCATAATGTATCTCATAATATTTGTGCCTGAATGTTTGCATAGTTCCAAGTTACACATACTGGGGAACTTCTTCATTTCCACTAGGTTGTTGCAAATTTTCATTGTTCCATTTTACCAGGCAGCTTGCTGTCATTACACTTGTTGTCATTTAGCAGGGGTAAGCTTCCAAGATCTGTAGTGATGATGATGTTTTATATATTCTACATGTAATATTTTTCTATGTATTTTTATCTCTAGAGCTTTTCTGAGGAGAAATAACTTACCTTTTTTCCAACTTATCTTTAAAATAGGTGAAGTCTATTTCTATGAACAAATGTGTTTGTTATTCTATTTGAGGTTCATTGTTATGCAAACTGTCTTGAATATAATATTAACATAAATCACATTTTGTAGAAATGATGAATTGGCTCATTAGCACAGTATTTCTGTAATTTGCTCTACAGAGATTTCCCTTCTTGGTATTTTAGACAAAGGCGAAATGCAGTAATGAGCTTTTACTGACAGTTTTTGAGATTTGAAATGTCTTGGTGTTAGTTAACTCGTTTAGGTGTGTATTTGTAGGGATGGCTGTAAGAAAGCCGAAAGAGAGTGTGAAGAACTGTCTTATGACAGTGTGCTGAATGTAAGGATTCTGTCCATAGCTAAAAGTATTACTGACTACTTTAATTTTACGTAACTTGTTAGATTAATATTGCCTTTGTGCAAGATAGAAATCTCAAGTACCCTTTTTTTCCAAAACAGACACATTACCATACAGGAATCTGGAATGTCAGATGATACTGAAATTTCCTGTGATTGGGTGCTAAAAGGTAAGAGTTTTTGGAGATTTCTGAATGCATAGTCAAGAGAAGATAGTAACCACAAAGGTGTTCAGTAACAAAACCAGGGCTTTCTGCTTTCCACATAAAATGAGAATTTGTCATTTCAGTAATACCTTTTTATTGTGACAGTGTTTTGTTTCTTAATGCATATAAAGCGGATTTCTTGAAATGGTGCAAACTTGAGTCTTACAGGGAACGTGTGCTTCTCTTTAGTACTTGTGTGTTGATAGTACTGGGTTTTGGTTGTTTTTTTGATAGTAAGAGTGAGTACTATGATGGTTCTTTGAAGGCTGACTCACAATCTCACTTTGTTCTTCTCTTAATTAGCAGACAGAATTTTAAAATAGGGTTTTTTTTCCAGGTTGTAATTTTGTTTTTTGCAGATGCTATGCCCATTCTTCTGACAGAGTCCAGTTTTTGAAGGATGCTTTTTTTAGAGAAGGATACTTGAGTTGTTTATTTTTTTTTCTTCCTATTTTAAGCAGAACAGTCCAAGTAGGCAGCATCTGAGTGTGATTTGTTTTGTTTTCTACAGCTTGCATACAGGCCTACTATGCAAAGTATGTCTGATGTGGAAGTTTCCCTTAGATAGGTTGAAGGAACAGGAGAATAAAACTAACACACTGGAGAAGGCACAGTGTGCTGATGCTGGTTTTGAAGGTTCTTGGTGTTCCCCTTTCTGGTGTCAGTTTGTCAGCTTGCTGTTAGTTTAACACTCAGCCATTATGTATTGTTTTTGTTGCAGGCTTGAAAAGTCTCTGCAACAGTATGTCTTGTGCTAGTTTTTATATTAATGTGTTCATGTAGAAAGAAATACTTTTCATGTAGAAAGAGTGAATGGTTTGGGGAGACATAGCCTCCTGGAGAAAAAGGAGTGAATAGTAACTATTTGGGGAAAGTTTCAGGCTTCAGTGATAAGAAGGCAAAATAAAAGGTAATGAGAATGTAATTGTTCAGACACCAAGAAACAGACTCAAGTTCCCTGAGGATGAGTAGGGAGGAAGTACACAGTTACGCCTCTGGCCATGTAAGGAGCCAGAGGGACCTGTGCCATGGCATCTGCAGTACTGAGGAGATTGAAAACAGACCTGGCAACAAGTCCTGTACTATTTAATAACTTCTGCATTTTCTCAGACGGTTGTTTTGCTTCATGTTCTAATGAAGTTCAAGGCTAAAAGCCTTTGGGTCTTTTTGTGGTGCTTAAAGAAAAAGATTTAAGTATGTCCTTCTTCGCAGATCTGAGAAACTAACATCATACTCTTAGATTAACAGTGCACGCAGTAGCTTATGTTTGATACATGACTTTTTTAAAAGACTGCACAGAACAAAATAAAGGTGCTTGGTTTTGGTAGTTACCCACAATTTATGTATTTATTTAGAAATATGTAAATACATAGGAATGTATAGACATTACTGCTTTCATGTCTTGTATTACGTAGTCAGGCCATGGCTTCTTGTCTCACGGGATTCACAGTCTGAGAAGAGCAACAGTTACCACAGTTAATGTATTCTGGATGACATCAATACTCTTCATCTGTTAACGTTGTCTTCAAGCAGATGTGCCTTGCATTGCTGGTTATACAGAGAACAGTGACTATTAAGATAAAAGCCCTTCCAGTAATAATCTGATTCTTCCTGTATGTGGACAGTGTGGTGCAGTTGAAATTTATTCATGTGATACAATGAAATAGTGAATTTTTTCTCTATGCAGAGCTCTTCCATTGCACATACACAGTTGCTTCAGAAAGCTGCAGTTACTTTCTGTTCGTTTCCTGTGGTGTCTGCAAAAGGTGCTGAAATTTCATGACGCTGAATTCTCATTGTGTTTACTATATTACAGGAATTTTGAGTTTCTGAATTTAGTTCATAGGATCACAGAATGGGTTGGGTTGGGAGGGACCTTCAGGATCATCCAGTTCCAACTCCCTGACAGAGGCAGGGGCACCTCCCACTAGGCCAGATTGCTCCAAGCCCTGTCCAACCTAGCCTTGAACACTGCTAGGGATGGGGCATCCACAGCCTCTCTGGGCAACCTATGCCAGTGCCTCACCACCATCACAGTAAAGAATTTCTTTCTAATACCTAATGTAAATCTCTCCTCTTTCAGTTTAAAGCCATTCCCCCTTGTCCTGCCACTACATGTCCCTCCAAAAAGTCCCTCTCCAGATTTCTTGTAGGCCCCCTTTAGGTATTGGAAGACTGATAAAAAGTCTCATATGAGATATATGAGCCTTCTCATCTCTAGGCTGAACAAGCCCATCTCTCTCAGCCTGTCTCCATAGCAGAGGTGCTCCAGCCTGTCTCCATAGCAGAGGGCTGGAGCACCTCTGGGTGCTCCCCAGATAGGGAAGCCCAGATGGACTCCAGCCCATCTTTCTGGCCTCCTCTGGGTCTGCTCCGACAGCTCTATGTCCCTCTTGCGTTGGGTGCCCCAGAACTACACAAGGTACTCCAGCTGGGGTTTCATGAGAGCAGAGGGGGAGAATCCCTTCCCTTGACCTGCTGGACACAGGGCTTCATCATGTCATTGCAATAAACTTACACCCTTCTGCAGCAAAGGCTCTTTATTTGCTTTGAGAATTACCATATGTATCTTTGGCTGTGTTTTAATAACAAAGCTTAACCGAATTTGTTTCTAAAATACTGAAATAAATATTATATAAATAAACCTGTTCTACAGCTTGGATAGAATTTTAATTACAGGTTCCATTTCATATATATTTGAAAGCATTTGTGCTTTAAGGGTGAAATAATTTTACAAATAAATCTCACATTCAGGAAGTCCTAGGATTTCTTAAATCTCATTAGTATTAAGGCTTTTTCATATTTAGGAAGTAGAAGCTTTGTTGTCTTGTAGCTTGGGAAAGACAAAATGCGTTTATACATTTTCAGCTAAAGACACTAAAATCCACAACTCATCCAGAGGAAGCAGTCCTCTTGGGAGTGTTACAGGAGTTACTGAAAGCTGTCTTGAAGACGGGCAATCAAGAGAATTAGATGAACTTCTGAAGAGTTTTGACATGGACGAAAAGGTACTGAGAAATCATGTTTTCTGTTGCTAAGTAGTTTAGGAAATGATGGTCCATGTGGTTGGATAATTTTAATTACTGATGTTGGTTTATCAACAATTTTTTTGATTTCCTGTAAAAAAAGAATATGGTGTTTCACAGGTTACTGTGCTATTGACAATGTAAGTTTTGCTTGACAGAATTTGGGTGTTTTTATATTGTTACTAATAACCCATTTTCAAATTTGAAACACAACAAGATAGTTATATCAATTATTGCAGCAACTCTGTATTACCAGTTATATGAAAATTACTGTTCCAGAGAATACCTAAGAGTACTACTGTGCATATGTGACTTTTTTTACGTAACATAACTAGTTTTAAAAGTTGGTGTTAAATGTTTCTCACCACACTGTCTCAGAAGGATGGCATGTTATTGGAAAGCTGGGGAGCTCCACAGCCGTCATACATCCGAGGAGGATTGTTCTGTGGTTCATTACTTGGGCAGAAAGGCCATTACATTATCATATTGACTACCTGGTAGTTCAGAGGGAACATTAAACCATTTTCATGCTCAATGACTTTATCTGACCTTTCTACTCTCTCTTGTCTTCCTTTCTGTAGATGGTAAGTCTAGGTCTTTTAAGACTTGAAGTTTTATGCTATTTATTATTATAATGGATTGAAATTTACAGCTTGCTGCTACTCAGACATAGTTGCTGATAGCATTTACTGCTTTCCACTACTTCAAGAGTGGATAATGGTTTTAACTGAATAAGTTAAACTGTAAAAGCCACATGGCTAAAACCTGGTAAGTAATGGATAAGGTAATCAAACAGTAGGGAATCTGTATCCCTGGCAAAATCGTTATTGAAAAGCAGAGTAGAAACATTTCCTTCAGCAAATGGAACTGGGGCTGCTGACATCTCGTTCACAAAGTGAATTTTGTTCCCCGACCTCTTAGGGAGGGTAAAAGGGTCTCTCGAATAGGTTACTGGAGTAACTAAGTGGAGTAACTAACTCCAGTTACTGGAGTAAGTATAGTACTTATTGCAGGACTGCCAGGTCAGTCACTGGGGCTACCATAGAGTTGTGGCTTTGTAAAATCAGTGTCGTAATGCTTTCTTTTCTGTGCTGTGTTGGGCAAAGGTAAATAAGTAAAACTAATATTACCCAAACCCCAAACTTTACCCAATTTAAGCCACAAAATATTAATACAGGCCTAAATCTATTCCTGTATGTGGACAGAAAACTAGGTTTGCGGATGTGAAGAGGGAGTGCAGTGGCAGAACACTTGTTGCAACTATTCTGCTGTTTGGGGTCATTCATGGGGCAGGTGATGTTTTTTTTCCAGTTCACGATACTTTGAGAAGGACAAAAGCTTAACCACTTAACCGTAGAGAAAACCCTAAAAATATGAGGGAACTGGTAAACTGAATTTCGGAAATCCGTTGAGAGCATGTCCATCTGTAATTACTTGGTTATCATAAATTTTGTGAAGTTCAAGTTACTTCATCAATAACAAAAAACAAAGCCAGGGTTCCATGACTTTGTTCTGTATCAGTCCTTTCAGATTCTCACACCCAAATGTGTTAGGTTCTGTCTTTTTTCTCCACACACTTGAGGTTTTTTTCTTATATGCTATGGTACACAGCTGAGAAAAAGCCTTAGATTTGTCCTCAATACAGCTTTACGTTTTCACTAAACTTGATGGAATGTCTTTTGTGAGTTTCTACACATCTGTCAGGTGCAGTTAAAATTGGGCAGTGGCCCTAAAATTGCTGTGACTACTGGTGGGAACAAAGAGAAGACAATCATATCACCTTTTTTCCAATTAAAAATCACTGTTTTAAAGATTACAAGGTATAAGGGCAGTTTTAAACTGCCACTCTTTTTAAACACACCGTTTAAAAAGATGGTGTAAGAGTAAGTGCCATCCTTACAGTCAAGATTCTTATTATACTTTCCAATGATCACTAACATTTTGAAATCTGTAGTGTAAAGTATAAGAGGCTTCATAATGCTTTGCTGTATCTGAAAGTACATTTTAAATATCTTCATAGTTCAGGTTTGCAGATGGAGTGCCTGATGTTAAAGAAGAAAAAAAGGGTGAAGCTGAAAAAAGGTATATATACTGTGTTCTTCATGTAACCTGTGATACTCCCTAGTTATTGTACAAATGAAAAGTGATGTTTTTCCTGAAACACCATCAGCATTTTAATTCAGGTTTTCTGTATTATTGTGACTGTGTGATGAAGAAAATACGTATGTGAAACAATACAGTTTCACTGTGCAAAGTACAAGACAAGTATAGCTGTAGCCTGACAGGACAATAGAGGTTATTTTGTCCTCTGGCTAGTGATGAAATACATCCACTGTATGCCAGTGTCTCGCTTTGATATCTCAATGTGAGTGTAGATGCATCTCCAGCCACAGTAGCACTTATCAGAACTTAAAAAAAAAAAAAAAAAAAAAATCAGTTGAAGCATTCAGCTTTTTTTCTGCCCCTTGGGACTCTCCCTAAACTGGTGAAAGAATTGAAAGATCTCATTCAAATTCAGGCTGACAGATATTTGAACAGCAGTAGAAAAAGGCACTTAAAAACATGGCATGTGGAGTCAAGCATGTGCTCTGCTGTTCTGCTAGCTTCAAACTGTGCTTACAGTGTTGTACATACAACTTGAAGTGTCATGCTAAGAAACTTCATTCAACATCAGCCTAAAAATAAAGCAGAATAAGACTTTGTAGAAAAAGTATACTTAAGTGATGTAATTCTTAAGTAATGAGAAGAGAAATAACAGGTATGTCAGTCATTTTCACAATAATCGAGAAACCTGAGCTAGCGTAGAAGAGGGTATTGTTTTTTTCCAGCACCAGTTACATTTCAGTGACAGACTTGAAGCGTACCAGAATTTGGTTAAATACAGAATATTACATCTTTTCATTAATCCACTAGAGAGCTCCAGGCTCCTCCTTCTGGTAAAATACCCATTTAAATTTACCATAGCAGCATAAATAGTTCTTTATACTGTAGGAAAGTAGACTGTGCTGGGTAAAATATGTGCAAGTGATACTGCATTACTTCCTTAGTTGAAATGTGTGCAGCTAGAGAAGAGGCATTTATTTATTCTTTCATTTGGAGTCAAACTGTTATCTCTAGTTTGATTCAAAAAATGTTACCATTGCAAAGTTTCATCTAGAAGAAATATAGTTACTGTTCTTATTTAGCAAACTCCACTTCTAATGACCCTGTTACTTAAAAAAGGGAAGTTGATTGTAAAGCTGTATAGTTTACAGTTCCTCACAAAATTGTGTGTAGTTTCTTGTCTAGATTAAAAACAGAGCTGAGATTGTTGTCCTGAAGGTAAGCTGCTATGAAAATCCTGTTTTGTCAGATCTCAGGCTGGCATCACAAGAAAGCAGAAAAAAATGTCATGGTGACTTGAAAATTCTGATTAACTAGATCTGCGGATCTGGTTTTCTGTTTTTCTTCCTCTGGAGACTACTACTATAACTGAACTAAAAATAAAGAATTTTGGTTTATTAGGTAGAATTTATTCTTCTCTGCTGTAGCATGTGTATTTGAAACTATTAAAACCAGTGTGCAATTTAGGAAAGATTTTGCTTATCTTGGCCTAATGGGGCTGTTTCTGTCTCCAAACAGTAAGCAGGCTGAAATGTCCTTTGTACTGAACCTAGATTCTTAATTAAAGGAGAAAGTGGAGGAGGATCTCATGAAACGGGGTTATTTTTTTTCTGTAGCTTTATTTACAAATAAGAAAGAGATCACTAAGCATTTAGCTAACAGTATTTTCAGCTTGTTTCAGGAAACATCACATTTTAGTTGTTTAATTATCTGAAGTGTACATATGTGGGAATAGTTGACAACAGAACAGAGTTGCCTTTGAAATCACCTAAGTATTCTGCCAAGTAGAGCCAGTTATTAGGAAAGAAAACAGTTGGTTCTTCAAATGTAATTTCAAAAGCTTTGTGGATTACTTTGACAGGTATTACATAACAGGCCGCAGAAAAGTAGATGCTTCTTGAGAGGTGACAGAAATCATCTTAGTCTTGCTGTCAGCAGAGTGAAAAAAAATTAGAAGTTGTTCATGGGTATCTTTTCTCCTTATTATGTATTGAATTTCATATAGATCCACTTAAAAGACATAATAATCTCAGGCAAGATCATAATCGAATTGGACCAGGCAATGAGAGTAATAAAAGTTGTTGGTACTGCTACTGTTTAAATTTACATCAAGTTTTGAAGTGTTGTGTCAATTGTTGAAGCAATTCTCAATTTTTATGTGCTTATTCCTCCTTTTTTTAGTTTTTTAGTATATGGGAGAAGCACTTGTTTAATTTGGCTAAACAGATTTTTGTTTTTCAATACTCAGCAGTGACTGTAAATACAAAGACCTTGTGAACTGTGGATTGCTATCAGGATTGCCACTGCCTGCCCCAAAAATAAATGTCCTCGGTGAAACTACAGAGATGGAAGCCAAGACAAATGGTATCATATGCTGCTTTGGTGAACCTTCCAGAATTTATGTGTGTTCTATTTACCTATAAAATCTTAAGGAACTTCTTCAATTCCTGAAGGCACTGGCTGGAGTTTATTTTAGTTTCCATACATAGAAGCAGAAATGCAAGCTCTCAGATGAGAGGTTAATCAGGTTTTTTGGGTTGGATTGGGATTTTTTGCAGGATCCTATTTGGTAGGGTCAAATAGCAGCCATTCTCTGTTGGTGTTCATGGTTCTCTGATACTTGAATGGTACAGGGAACGTGCCTGCAGATTTTCTTGATTGGTTGTTATCTGTAGGCAAAACTTGGTTAAGGGATTTTCCCAGCTTGCCAAAGGTCAGAACTTTGCTGCTTATGCCAGTTCAAATGTTTGCAAGATATTCACGAGTCTGGATCAAGGAAATGATCCTAGATTTAATAAGCAGTACTTAATTTTGACCTGGAATATTTCACACCTGGGACAGATACTTCTTAAAAGTGTGCCTGCCACCAGAGAAATAATAATTTAATGGAACTGTAGTCAAAGTTTCCTTCTCTTTTTCTCTGCACAGAATAACTCTTAACATTAAGCCTTACATAAAAGCATAGTTTTATCTGGTGTACAAGATAAACAGGAATTGATTGCTTATGGATATATACTATATTCTGTTTCTTTGCAACAGCTGTTTTGGGAATTAATGTTTTTAGAGTTACTGGTTAACATGAATGTTTGTAAACATGGATTTCCAGAATTTAGCTCACTGGCAGAGGCTCTTGCTTAGTTTCAAATTATACTGCCAGTCTGAGCTTGTAGAACGACTTCATCACTATTTCTAACTATATTGTCAGGAAGTGCAAGAAACACAGATGCGATAAAAAGCAACTGTGAAATATGTCTCTAGACTGTAGGAGTTTGAAGTTGCTCATGTCTTTGGCCTCGAAAGTGTATACACCTTATGAAGAGTTCTTCTAAATATTCCTTCTTAAAATCATTTTAAACTGTTGCCAAAGCAAGAGTTTCTGTGCTAGGAGAGGGTAAAACAACCTTTTTCCCCTTAGAACTATGCAGGCAGGACTGACCTAGTTCTCTTCAGTGCCTGCTTCCCTACAAATCTGACATACAGTTGGCAAGGAGAGTACAAACTTGCAAAGACCTGGTCATAAACTCTGTGCCATGGAGATGGCAAGAATCTGAAGGAAAGACCTCTAAGATCAATTTCCCAGTGGCTTTGTTCTGCAGCTAGTGACTGACTCTGTCCTGGGTCTTTTGCCTGTCACTAAAGTCATCCAATCCTGAATTTACCAAGTTGCCCACCATCACTGCACAAAGTTACACAGCTGTGACAGTACATGACATTCAGGTATTTAATTGTTTTACATTATATTTCTCCTTCCTATACTGTGATAGCCTCCCTCTTTAGAAAGACATGCAGATTAAGAACCATGTACCTAGTGCAAGTCTGTAGTACAGCATGCACCATCATTGGATGGTCTTTAGAAACTATAGTTTGTAAGAAAGGGCTAAGCACACTCTGCCTTTTGAATAGCCTCTTCTTTGAAGGGACCAGATGGAAACCCTAGAAAACAAGGCATTCAGAAGCTCTTGTTTCTCTTTAGATGTGGAGTCGAAAATATGAACTTTTATCTTCCATTAACACTATTTATTTTTCAGAGAAAGAGATCTTTTATCAATAATAGTTCTAAAAACAAGTTTTACAGTTAAGAAACCAGTAACTTACATTGGTCTTAAGCTTGATACTGTGCTGCTTAAAACATAGAGTATGAAAGATTTTGTTTCAGTTTTGGAAAAGTAGTTTAACTTTAGGGTTATTGATGTGGGAATGCAAAGATGACTGATAAAGTGGGTTTAGTTGTGTTTTTATCTCCTTTTCAAATTAAAACTTCTGGATATTTCAATTTGGTTTATTTCCTTCTCTCTGTAAATTAGATTAAAACCCTGAATAAAGATGCAGAGTTTTTATTTAAATGTGTTTACTCTTAAAGTTTGTGTTAAGTCTCGATTTTAGGATAATTAAGAAAACTGTAACAAATGACTGGCCTTAGATTGTATTAATCAAATTTTCTTTAATCATTGCTGTGATTTGAACGAACTATAAATGTAAGGGAAATAAAGATAAATGAGAGTGGTTTCAGTATGATATATTTTATTACATGATCCATTTATTGCCCTCATCATAATTTTTAGATTACAGATTTTCAGGAAAAAGTATTTTACTGCCATCGCAAAATTCTGGAGATTTTGAGACATGGAAAGTGGAAAAAAGTGCAGTTGTGAGTTGTTAAATCCTTAATGATCTCTGATCCTCTGGCACTAATTTTGTTACGGATATTCAGACAACTCTCCATGTGTCTAGTAAGAAATTACGAATCTATGTAAGTTTATGTTTCTACTCCTCTAAAGACATTAACACTGAGTAAGTACAATTTCTGAGAACAAAATCAGTGATGAGGGGACAGCTATTTACAATTGAGCTTTGTAGATTTATACTTCCAGCTTAAGCAAAATCAGATAATGCTTTTTTGGCTTGTTTTTGTCGAACTGGAAAGCAGACAAGGTATATCATGTTTCAGACAGACTGCATTATCCATTATGCTGGGCACTGAAAAATGGTGAAGGAAGTTCATGCCCCAGAATCCTCAGACTCTTATGCAGAGCCATGCAGGAGTTTGTCATGTTTCTTCATCCTCTTTACTCTGTCTCGTTTGGCAGTTCTTGCATTCTCTCTGTCTGTGGTCTTCAAGACATATTTTTGGTGTATTAGACACTAACATGTGACAAAGGACTGATCTTGGTCTGCTTTGAAATGCTGCAAGTACAGTATAGAGATGAGGGTGTTTCAAAGGTTTAGTTGTAGATCACACATTTTTTGCTTTTGTTTGTAATTTTGAAATTCTCAAGAAAATCTGTGTGTTTGATTTAAAAAAAAATATTGTTTGTGGCTTTTATTCTGCTTGTTTTATTTTAGGCTTCTCATTCAGTCCAGCAGATTCTCAAGATGATTGAATTGCCCCGTAAATATTGCAGATTTTATTTCATGACTTTGCGGGGCTGTGAAAGAGCAAAATGTTGGTTTTGGCATGTTCCTGAACAAGGAGATGAAAAGGTAAAGAGCTTCATAGAAAAAAGACAGATTGTAAGCATGGACACTTTTTAAATGCAAAACAACATCTCTTTTGTTCATTTATATGCAGAAAGGGAACAAATTTCAGAGCCTGATGTATCAAAAATTCAGAAATTCTTCCTCTCAAGTCTTGTGAAGTTTTGGTTTTTGGTCTTGTGGGGTTTTTGTTTGGTTGTTTTTTTTTTGGGGGGGGGGGGGGTTGGGTTTGTTTTTTTAAGGTAGAATTTTGAACTTTTAGTCTTTTTAAGAAAATGGTGAAAGAGTAAGTATTAGGCTGTACACATACAGAATAGTAGAATGGGGAGATTCTGAGACATTTCTGCATTTCTGTCCCAAGCACTGGACACCTGTAAGCAAACCCAGACTTTGTATGTATTCTTAAAATCAAAAACCATCTATGGTATGTTACATTTTGCAAGTAAATAAACAGCAGCATGTTTGTTCAAAGATTCTGTAATCTCCTTAAATGTAGCAATAATTCTCATTATATTTACAAGCAAAATATTTTTCCAGAGGTGGTCAAAGTAGGCGTGTTTTCAAACCATCTAACAAAGAAATTATGACTCTCTAATACTTAGAAACTGTGTAAGACAAGCTAATTGTACTGTCATGTAAGATTTTGGCTGTATTAAGCCAAGACTTAGGTGGTTCTGTAAATCACTCAGGAGTAATAAAACAACTAACCAAAACCAAATGCCTAAACTTGTCATGATCAGGTCTTTCAAGATTTATTTCTCATCTGCCATCTTACTGATACAAGTACAGTTTTATCATTGGTGTCAGTAAGTAAAAATGACACAATCAAAACGTAAAAAAAATAAGTTGTCATGAACCTGTTAGACATAAATACTTTTAAAAAGGAGCTTACCCATATCCTTGATAAATATACTGTGTCAAATTTTAAAATACATCATTGTAATTTGGTTTTATTTTTCTGAGTGTTTTCTTTTTTCCTTCTTAAATCTCAAAAAGATATTTTTCTAGTGCTTTGTAACCTCTTTGGAAATTTGTATGACGTGTTAAAAATACTGAGCTCATTTAACAGTAATTCTGTATGGGACATTTTCCCTTTTACTCAGCTGTGAAGGCTATAGAGAATATAATTAATTTTCAGCTAGTTTGTATGAATTATGATGATTCATTATATATGGGCACATTAAGTAATTATATGCCTAAAACTATTAAAAATCTCTTTCATTTTATTTTACCTGTGGTGCAGCACTCCAGCACACTTACTTTTCTGCCCACCAAACTCAGCCTGACTTTCCTGGTTGTCTCGAAGTCTACTTCAGGGTGGGTTTGTTTGTTTTTAGAATTGTCCGTTTAAAAACTATAGTAGGCCAAGCACCTCATGGTGGCACCAAAGTACATAAATGGAAGACAGGTAAAGCAGCAACATCACCAACTGCATGGGAAATAAATCTCTTTAGGAGCTGTTATGAAAACCACTTCCTTAGTACAGCGTTTTCAGTGATGATTGTTACAGGAATTTTCAGAGAGAAGTACCTTTCCCCATAATGGATACTCCTTCCTTTTCATTAATCAACTGTTCGATGTTTTAAGGCATAACTTACTAGAATTTCACTGATCACACAACACAGCAGTGATTTCATTCATAAAAACATACGTTTTGAAAGTCATCACACTCTTGAGCTCAGCAAGTTCTACAGGTTACCAGGTTTTGGTTTTTTTTTTTTAACATGTCTTTAGTTTCAAACAGTGAAATCTCTTTTGCATTAGGCAAAGTAAACCAAACTAGTAAGACTGTGTTTTAAGTACTCTCCACAAATTATTTAAAGGGGAGGATCTTAACAATGTGTATCAGTATCAGATAGGGGCAAGGGAGGTAAATAAGATGGAACCAGACTCTTGTCAGTGAGGCCCAGTCAAAGCATAAGAGGCAGTGGGCATAAACTGGAAAGATAGGAAATGCAATTTGGCTTGAATGACACTTCAGACTGTAGCATAGATAATTGTGCAGTTGCATAAGCAGTTTGAAAACACATCTTCACGCAAACTGTATTTCTTGGATTTTATTTTAGCTTTGTGTACCTTGCTCATTAACCTTTTTGGACTCATAGCCACAAAAGAAATGTTTACTTTTTGTGATTTCTTGAACTTCTAACTGGAAACAGGATATAAAATAAGAAGATTTATGTCTTCATTAATGTTATCTTGCAACTTCAGGGCCTTGGGTGTATGCTCCTATTGTGGTTTGGGGTTTTCTTTGGGTTTTGGGTCTTGTGGGAGGCTTTGCTTTGGGGGATTTTTTTGTGTGTGTGATTTGGTTTTGTTTTGATTTTTTAATCTGGCTTCCTAAAGAAATGAGACCTAAAAGTTGCACTATCCTGTTACTACTGTCTCTAACCACCTTTAAATAGTTTTTTAACCTGTTGGTTAGTTTCAGCCACATTTAACATGGAGTGTATGTCTCAAAGATGCCACAGGGTTCTTAAACAGAATCTCTTGTACAAAGGATCCTGGTTTTGATCTCAGTAAGCAAAAGGCTGCAGCATGGGGTTTTTACCCCATATTAAACATTAAGAGTACAAACTGGGGGATGCTGAAGGACTTCATAAATTCTGGTGCTTGTTTTTTCTGATTTAAGCACCTTTGTGTTACTTCAGTAGAACTGTGTTTTACTGCATAGTCAGCTGCTTGTAAAAGATAAACAGGCCTTTATTATGCTTTTTATTGTCATGTAAATGAGTTGTGGAATCAACTGATAGGTGGCAGAATAGTGTCATCTATACCACCTTTTGAAAATAGGAATTGTCTTTTATGTACTTTAATTTGAAATCTATTAGAGATTCTCACATTTTTACATGATCTGTAGGTTCGTTACATCTTTTAAAATTGAAACAACTAAATCAGCCGAAGTCTTCTAGAGAAGCTGTAAATGAATAACACATTTACTTTCTTTTATAAATGTAATTTAACATGTCCCATGATTAAATATTACTACAACTGGATTTTCCAAGCAATTTCACTAATACTTGGAACAGTCAGAGCTCCAGATGCAATCTTAGCTTTCTTGGGGAGTCAATCCAAAGAAGGAGGAAAACACATTGCAAAAGAAAGCAAACTAATTTACATACTGTAAGCATGTGCTAAAGCTTATTTTGGAAATGCCCTCAGCCACCTGGGATTGTAGGTTTGGATTAAATGAGTTAACTCACTGCCAAGTGACACTTCATATATATTAACGATGATTTTCTGAAAGGTATATCTTGGATGATAGTTCAACATGATGTTTCAAAATGAAAACAGTAAGCTTTATTTGTGTTTAACATACTTACGTATACGGTCTTTGTGTTCTTTGTCTTGAAGATCTGAATAGGTTAATGATTTTTCAAAAGGAAAGATGTCTTGGCCACAAGCCAGTATCTTCTGCTTTGATGATAATTCATTTGCTATGTAAGAAACATAGTTCCGAGTTTTTTCTTTTATGTCCTTATGAGTAATTCTTTGTGACTACCAGTGTTACCAGCTTCACTTCTAGGTGATTCTTTGACTTCTCAGTTGGTACATTAATGTAATTTTTGTTTATCCCATTTTCACCTTTGTTTCCCTTTCTCTCACTGTTTACAGTATGCCACATCTATGCTAATTCCAAAGTAACTATTTTCTAATTCATTTTTTGTTTGCTGTGAGTATATACAAACACACACGCATGTGCATTTGTCTCAGCAGCTCCTTTTTCAAACATTTCGTCTACCTTATGTCCTTTAAACAGTGCCTTTGCCTACAGACTCAAATACTTTCTTACACTGTTTGTCAGCATGTGTGGGTTAAACAGAAGCAATGTAAAGTTTGTTTCCTTATAGAGCTCATGATTGTGAGTAGTTCCTTGTTTGGCATAAACTGAAGTAACATTTTACTATGGGTTTTTTCCCCCTTTTTCTAGGTTTGCATGACAATACTTAGAGCATACATTACTATCAAAGAATCAGGCCTTCTAAGACGTGCAGGTATGATGTAGTAGCTTTTGATGTATCTTTAATACTTAGCTTATTTAAGGCAAATTAAATAGGCTCTCAACAGAGAGTAAGAAATGCTGATTTTGAAGGAATATATGCAATCCACATGTTCTCTTGTTCCAGTTGCTCATTGAAGCTAGGTATTTAGATACACAGTTATCTTGTCAGGTCATTGTGAATCTTACATCCACAGAAAATTAATTTAGCCTGAATGGAACTAGACTTGAGAGCAGAAATGAGCAACTGCAGAAGGGAGGAGGTTTAACAGAACAAAGTTTTGTTAAGATGCCTTTGAACACCCTGGCAAAATATTACAAATCCAGAAACTTTGGAATTAAGCTCTTGAAATGAAGCGCACCCAAACAGCTTTAGTTTTGTCCTTTCACATTACTTTACATGCAAACAACTATGGTTAACACATTCTAGAGACTGTAGTTGATCCAGATCCATCTGAGCTTTTGAGATGAGTCACAAAGGACTGAATTTCAGTCTGGTCTGTCATTTGTTTTGTACCTGTCCTAAGCAGTCTTAAGTTTATGAAAGCTTATTAGAGCATAGCACAATGTGAACATGGGATCCAGTTGCACCCTGTGTAGTATGTTCCCATGCTGAAATACAGAACATTGTAAATGCAAATAACATTGGGTATCAGCAGGCTACACAGTACGTCTCTACCAAGGCTAGGACTGGAACAGATTCTAAGACCATCCAATGTGATAACACTGCACTTCACTTTCTAAAACTTCATGTCTAGAAAGGGCTTACTACCTTAATGCACTTACTAAATCTAACCTGGTCTTGTGCATTTTTCTGGTGCTGCACCAAATTAGCTGAGCTTTCTTGAAAGTTAAAGGGCTTGTGGTGTTGTTCAACTCAGTGACATGAGATGTTTCAGAATAGTCAGTCTGGGTCTAACAAGGCTAACACTGTATTCAAACTGGATTCTTTCATCCATTTTTCTCCCTATCCCTGTCCCATAATATCCTGTATAATAAAGGGTTGTTACACTGAATTTAAAATCTAAGGAAATAACTTGTTTGAATAGTTACCATCAGTTTACCCCAAAATGAAATTAATTTAATTGCTTTTTCAGTCCAAATATTTGTGAAATATTACAGAGAAGTTACTCCTGGTGTGTATTTTGCTTCTGAAGTGCTGAATGATCTTCTGGTTTCTCTACTCAAGAAATGTTTGTTGCATGAAGTATTTCAGATATTGAATGTAACTGTACAAATCAGTACACCGGTAGGTGACCTTACACAAATACGTAAAAATATTTATACTGTGTATATATATGTGTAATATAAAAATTCCATTTTTTTAAACCCCTGATCCATCGTTTCTGAGTTTTTTGAGTACTGTGCCACTTGTAAGTTTGATTTTACTCTGATACTCGAATCTTGGGGAGGGTAAAAAGAGCAATTAAAAATATTATAAAAACCCTAAGCTTTCTAATTGAACAGAGTTGTAAAACTGATTGTGCTCTTCTGTCTAAATTAGCCGGCTGTAGATGTTCTTCTGAAAGTTTTTGAGCATGTGGCTTCTTTGAATATAAGAGACGCTGTGCCTACGTTAATCAGTACCTTTTGTAAGGTATGAGTTTGGAATTTCTGAAATAACTTTACCTGTTTTAAAATTCAACCATATCACTTCAATATTATTTCAGTACTTTTTTTTTTAGTTACATTATGACTAGCTGAATTTGTGGTGCGTGCTCCTATTTCTCCCTTATTTTTTGACTGAGATTCAATCACGTGTTTTTTCCACTGTTATTTGCCACTTGCATCTTAAAATATGTGTCACAGTTCTTTGTATGCCTACTTTTCTTCCCCCTGTTTGCTATTACAGCTCATGGGTGCTGGTATGTTCGTTGAGTCTGCACATTTTGACTGTATTATTAAGTTCCTTCACCAACTGAAAGTTTCCAGTCAGGAACTAAATACTGTTTTGAACATAAAATCCAGGTATGTCTTTAAGGAGCTACTTTATATCTGTTTAGTTCCTTCTTTAGGTTCTATTTTTATAAACTCATGTATACCTTTAAAAGGCAATTAGAAAACGAGTGTTCCGGATGAAAATACTATCATATCATGTGTAATTGTATTTTAAAGTGCTGTCAGTTTTCTGTGCTTCAAAGATCAAGGATTATTAAGTCAAAACTTAGATTCTGACCACACTTATGATTAGTTTTTTCCATACTGATAATTATTGTATAATCTGTTCCCAGCTGTGCTGTAGGTTTATATAACTGCAGTCAAATTAGAGACATCATGGTTTAATATATCATTTAGGCCTACATAAGCAAGCACTACTTCTACAATAAACAACCCTTTTAGGCAATAAGAGGATTAGTTATAACCCGAAGTAGTTTTCTAGTTTCATTTTCTCTGGAATTACATAAACACTTGTGCCAGCATTCCTAAGGAGGAGGGTCATTTTTTAAGTACTGCTGGATGACGCTGGGCAAAATGTGAAATCACAGCCTAGATCTCTTCCAAAACTGTTTATGTTGATGTCTCCCCATCACCTGCACAAGATTTGTCTTTCTCATTATCTGCATCTTACATTCACACACAAGCTGAGAAACTAAATTGAGATTCATAAAGCAACCTCTGATTCTTAGAGAAAACCAAATATGCAGCATCTACTGTGTGAAAACAAGCCATCACTTTTTCATTTGAAAGCATTGTAGAAATTATTCGGTGCTTTTCATACTTTTGCCATAGTTTCAGACACAGGTCTCACCATCCAACTTACCACACACATTGGAGGTAATTTTTATCACTTTTTGGATCAAGAATCTCATTCACAGAGGAATGACCCCCTTCCAGATTGCCTCAGTATGTGCATGTTTTCAGCACAAACTGAGAAACAGTCTGTATCTATGAAGACTGAGCAGCTGTGCTGCTTCAGCTACATGTGTTAACTCATTCATATGTAGGTTACGTATCTCTACATGATAGCGTTGCATGAGGTAGATGTATTCATTCAGTGGTGACAGCAGAAATATCATGCTCCCAGGTATTTGAAGATGAGTAGCATTTTCTTTCATGTAATTAATTTTTTTTACCTGTATGTCAGAAATATGCACAATCCAGTTCTGCATTTACTTAGCGGAGTGAAAGTATTATTCATACCTTCTCAGTTAACCTTTCTACTGAGACTGGCTTCCTTTGCATGATTGCAGATGTCTGTTTTCAGTATCCAGTTTGCATAGTGTGTGGTAAATAGGATCAAAATTCACATCAGTTTTTAGTTCATATATGATAATTTGCTGATAGCCTCCTGCTAGTGCATTTTGTTCAATAGGATGTGTTAAAATTAAGTATTAATATTTTTTTCTTACAGAAGATTTCAGGAAAGACATTTTGAAAAGAACTGGATTTTTGACTTCAACTTGGCAGTGGCTGAAATTCAGGTACAGTGCATGCATTCTTCAAGCTTGTTGGAATGCTTAAACCATGTCTTCTTTAAAATCTACAAAAATAGCAATTTCTACGTAATTTTAAATGAGTAGGCTTTATTATTAAGTATCTTGAGATTTGAATAAAATATTTTTATGCAAAGCCATGTTTGGGAAAGATTAACATGCAGGGGAAAAACTGTGGCTTTTTTGTGATGCTGGTATTCTAGTTTACATACTTGCAGTTTTTATCTTGGTTTTATATCTAATTCAAAGATTTTGTAACTTTAAACAATTGTTTCCTATGTCTTAATAATTGTTTCCTATGTCTTAACATTTGTTGTGTTTGTAATTGGAAGTAGTACATCATTCCTCACCAAACAAATACTGAATATATTATTTACTAGACAGAATTCATACGTAGTTTTAAAAGGCACAATTGTAAAAGGCTGTAATTGGAAATACTAAGGAGGTATTTTAGAGAATAAGACAGTGTCATTAAAAATTCTTGGAGGCTTACATCTTTCATTTTCAAGAGCAGATGACTTATACTGCACAATTATAATATTTTGCATATTACAAGTTTACACATTACCACACTTACTACACAGATCCTGAGATGAAAATTTAAGAAGGAAAAAACAAGGACTGATTTATTTTTTTTACTCCTTTAACACCACAGTCATGACGTGATCCGACAAGCAAAAGACTAATTCATACAGAAAATAACCGTCAACTTGGCATGCATTGTGGAAAAAAAACAAAACCTAGTAAAATACTGGATAAATGACAGTTTGTAAATGGATGAATAAGTTACGAGCTTCCCCAGTTGGCGTTGTGACATAAATGGAAAAAATTAGAATTTTTGGAGGGACATACATGATTAGCAGTCCATGCTAGATAGGAAACATGTAACTGTGCCATATTGAACATGGACGTTCTTGGCAGTAGCATTTCATCAGCATCTTTTCTCTGCTTTAAGTCCATCCCAGGTGCATCTCTCATATTTCAGTACGGTCTCTGTTCAGTGTTCTGGAAGCAGGTTGACTTATATTTACCCGTTGCCACCTTTGCAGCATTGCAAGGAAAAGAAAGATTGGGTCAAGCTGGGAGCTTTGTTTGTTAATGCAAGAACTGGCTGTGAACATTCTGATGATCTTCAGAAATTGTCTTTATGTATTGCTGAAATACTAACCAAAGACTCTGAGACAGACCGACTAGAAGTTCCTTTTTGTGACTTTGCTGATGCAGGTAAAATTAAAATGCAAGAAATGCGTTTTGTTCATCCCTATACTTTGTAGAGTTTTTAAAGTGATAAAGAACCAAATTCATAAACTGTTTTCTGATTATTAGTTAATTTTATATGTTACAATATTAAGAATTTCTTGAGGAGCAAATACAACCAGCCAGAATGCTCAATAGAAGCCATTTTCTAGTAGAAGTAAAATCCACAGTGCTTACACTTAAAGGAAGTTCTGAATGAAGAGCATTTGAGCTTTGTGAAATCAAGAAGAGAAACCAGTATTAGTGGTCTTTTAATAGGAGCAAAATTGGTGGTCTTTCAATCATGTCATTTTCTGAGGGCAAAGGCAAATGTATTTAAGTATTGTCATGTGAAGTGTCAAACTCTTAATAGCATAAATAAACTTTACAGCTGTAAATAAGGCTGTATTAGTGTATTTTAAAACACACTGAACAGGGTTACATCAGGTATATTATTTGTACTTTTTTCTTTTTTAATTTTTTTCTAATATGGATTTTCAGAATTACTTCATTCTCTAAAGAACCAAGCATTTATGTGAGGGCTGGGAACACACCACCTTCTAGTTTCCTTAAGAGTTCTTGCAGGTTTTCTCACCCCTTTCCACCCTATGCCCCTTCATTTACATAACTGTATCCTTCTTCCTAAGGAGTTTCCAGAAAACTGAGGCTCAGCAAAGTGTCATTGGGATATTAAAGCATTTTATAATTAATGTCTCAGATATTTCTAAATCTGTATTAACTACTAAAACAAGATGAATATTTATTCCAGATATGTAACATGACCTTTCCAACCACAGACTTCGATATTATAGAATGGCTATCAGAGCTTTCAGTTGTGACACAGTGTATTAAATACATTATAAAATATACACAAAAATAGAAATTAAAAATAAGAGATAATATGAAATAAGCAGTACTTTTAAAAATATTTTTGTTTTTTAATGGTACAAAAATATATCTTCTTCTCATACCCAGATGGATTGTTGTGCTCATGCCCTACTTTGGAGACCACTGCTCTAGAATGCCAACAGTGCTTCCAAAGTGGTTGTGTAATATGGTTGGAAAAATTTGTAATTAGTCAGTTCTGTAATTGCCAGCATTTCTTCATGGTCCCAGAAAACGCAAAGCTTACTGTACAAATAATGATGTTACTAAATTATGCCATTACATGTCCAAGCATCTCATGGATGAATTACTGTGAAAGTGTCTGAATAAACTGTAATTATTTATCCGACTTTCCGTGTTGAGACTTAGGAAGTTACTACTTTTAATGGCAAATATGTTTAATATTTTCACAATTACAGTGTTTCTCAAGTGTGGAATCTCTTTAAAATTGCATTTGCATGTACCATTTTTTTAATGTGTTGTTTTTCTTTTTAGTAGCAAAAAGTTCACAACATAATGAAGCAGACAGAATTTGCACTGGAAGGATTGGGATAAGTGTAATGTATTCTTATCACAAAGTACTCCAGTGGATAAAGGTATACTGGACTATAGGAACCTGACTGGAAGAAAGAGTCATTTCTAGATTTTCATCTAGATAGTCATGAGTCTTTCTATATGTTAAACTGTATTTCTTTAGTTGAATGGTTGGATGTGTTACCTGCCTCCCCACCATCTTAATACTTCTTAATTATCCAGCTGGCCCAAAGCATTTCATTGTGTCTTTCTGAGCATTAACCTTCTATGGAGCCCATCAGAACTTTGTCTTGCAACCTAGAAGCTTGATTGCTTGGGTTCAGGTTTTGACTTCCGTTTGGATAACTAAACTGATGCCTGTAAATCTGTATCACCAAATTAAATCTGCTATATTTCATGTAAATATACTCTGCATCCACTGATATCATTGCTTCCTCTGACCTTCCCCCTTTCCCTTCTCCCTCTCATGCTAGGGAAGGAAGGTTTTGGATAAGTTGCATGAGCTACAGATACATTTTACAGTCTTGAAAGGACTCATAGGTGCAGAGAAGTTAGCATCAAGATGCCAAATTGTTAATAAAGCTGCAGAAATTTATCTTAAAACAGGAAGTTTGGATGGAGCAACATGGGTATTGAGAGGTAAGTTTGTCTTAAACTGAATTTTGACTTAAATTTGAACACTCTCCTAGAACAGATTACAGATGAAAATTATAAGATGCTCTGTGGGTTTTTTTTTAAATAAAGTTAATAATACTGGGACAACAAAAATAAAATGTGATCCATCTTAACTGCTCAGTTTTCTTAATATGTATAAAAAATATTATAACTAACACTAAATCTTTTTCAGAGAAGTTGTCACAGTAGTCTGCCATCAACACCATTCTACTCAAAAGCCTACTGTAGTAAGGGAGGGCTGCAGCTTGGAAAGTGACCCTGCCCCAAGTAGATTGCCTTTGAGCCAGGTGACATGCAGTGTCAAAAAATGTTTAGGATTGAGTCAGTGCACTGTTCCTTTACACCTGGCAGTATCCCATTTAGTAAAATAGCTTTACAATAGTGCAATATTTCTGCAATTAAATGATGCATAATTACAGGCTTCTTGGAATTCTGATTTGCTGAAAAGGGATGAAACATGAAATATAAACGAGAATAGGAAATACAAACTAGTAAAAGGTGTTCTGTAAAGTAATATTGATGATCTAAATTTGCTGTTTCATACAGATACTTATATACACATATATGCCACTGGCAGTCCATTTTAATTTTGTGATATTTAATAAAAGGGGTTATATATAATGTAAAGGTTCGGAGAATCCATCTGAGAAGTACTACTGATAAGGAACACATTATTCATAACTAGAACTGCATTTTCTGTGAAATTCTGCAACTTGTTTTCTGCTGCAGTTTACAGTATACTCTTAATGGCCAAAAGTCTCACCATCCAACAGTTTCAGTTCATAGAATTAACACTGCACCGTTGTTTGCCACAGAGTCAGAGTGGATCACAAATACACCATTGTGGCCCTGTGATAAAATGGACATCCTCAGTCGACATAATCTGTTATGTACACTAGCGCACAAATACTTGAGGAGGAGTTTATACAGGCAGGCACTGGAAGTTCTGCAGAACTTACCAGGTTTTCAAACTCATTCTGGTAAGTAAAGAAAAAGGTACTGTGTTAATAGCTAAAAATTCAACAGATGATTGATTGATTGATGATGATTGATTTTTCAGGCTAAAATTATTGGAGAAGTAAGACAGTTTTAGATAGTTTTAGATGCAGACCCCCCCCTTTCCCACTCCTCCCAAAGCGTGTAGTGTCAGTTAAAATATGTATAGTATTTTGCACCTCTTTCTGCACATGCACACATGCATGTACATACACACACACAGTTTATACACCTGAACACTCTCCGACTGGCTTAGTTACACAAGGTAAAAGGAAAGACCCACTAAATTTTTAAGGATCATACACAGTCTATACAGTAAGATAAAACAGGGGTATCATCGAGGCGAGGAATGCATTGTTTTTTCTATAACTTAGCTAGCTAGCCTAAGCTAGCCTAAGCTTCTTTTACATACCATGTTAAGGACTGGGTACTATTCTGGGCTCAATTTATCTAACAAGTTTTTGATGTCCACTTCAGGGTGAGATGTGTAGTTAAGGCTCCACTAAGGAAACCTGGGATGATTCCTGTGAGCAGGTCTCAGTGCTATTGCCAGTGTGTGCTCTTAGGTATATTAGGAGAGTTTAGTTGGAAGGCCATCTGCTCAGAGAATCCTAAAAGGATCTAGGTGTTTGAGGCATGAGGTGGATGCAAGGCTCCTCAGTCCTGCCAAGAAGGGGACAGATGAGGGGAAGTGAACAATTCAGAGTAAGAGAAGCAGAACTTGAAGCACCAAAGCTGTTTCTGTTGGTGCAGATTTTAAGTCTGAGAAGATCAGGTGAAGATTGTATTTATAGGCTTGGCAAGTGAATATATCTGATCCTGTTGGTTTTGGCAGCAAATTATTACTTGGACCTTAGCACTTATCTTCCACAATGTAAATGGACTTAATGAAAAGACTTTTGATGAGTAAAGCATTATCATAGGTTACCTAAACCTTGTTCCATTTTACAGATAGAAGCAAGAGTCTTCATGTAGGTACTGATGAGAAATGTTTCTTCAATTAGATTTGCATTTGACATAATTCATAATCTCCATTTCATTTCAGATACTGTAGATGTTTCTCAGTACAGCTGCCTTTTTAACAAGCTTGTAAGTGCCTGTTTTGAGAGCAAGAACCTTGGGGTCTCATCTTCTGCAGTAGACTTCATGCTTTCAAAAAACATAGCTATTGATTTTTTTTTACTTAGACAATTAATTACAGCTTTGGGAAGAAGTTCTTTGTGGTCTAAAGCTAGGACCTATTACAAAAGTAAGTTGCTTCTTAAACAGTATCCTTTGCTCAGTATGTTGGGGGGAAATGGGGAAGAGTATACTTATAAGCAAAAGGTACTTTCTGTGTTACGATCAGGTATTTATTTGTAACTAAAATGCTTATTGGGAAATAACTGTTGAAAATACAAATCAGTGTATACTACCTGGCATGAAATAAATGTAATTCTGATAAAATTAAATTTTTACATTTCATTCCAGAATTTAAAAAAGAAAAAAGTGAACCTTGAAATGGTTAGAAAGTGCATCATCTTCACTTTGTCATCTAGGCAAATCAGATTGCTTTATACTTCTCTTTAGAGCTGTGGTGGTAAAATTATTTATGATCTGAGAGGTCTGGCAAAGAAATTTATCCTAACTAAAAGAAAATCCCTTTCCACTAAAAGTCTGTTTTCAACTCCCCATTTCTGTGCTAAGATTATACTGGGTGTGCCACTCTGATAGGGTCCACTAAGAGCCATCTCTCCGTATTGTCACATTATTTACTGCTTCATTCTGCCTTGGAATTGTGGTGGTTAGCAGGCTGCTCATGGAGTCCAGCCCTCCTGGGATACTTAGCTTTGTTAACATTGAAATTACTGGTTTTCCTTTTCTTTGGGGGTTTGGGGATGGCAGTTGGTTGGGGTTCGGTTTTTTCCTGAAGTGTTATATAGGTTAGGTCTCTGGAGTCACTTGGCAGAAGACGGGAGTAAAGGGGGAGATGCTGTGCAAACGTTTTCTCACTGTGATCATAGTTAATAAAGCTGCTGTCTGACCTGTCCTAAATTGTACTTGTGTTATTAGCACTTGGGAGTCTCCAGATTTCTGGCAGAGGTTTTTAATCATCACTGATAATATTAATTGATAAAAGTAACATTTTCTCACAGTGAATATTACAAGTGAATACTACTTGCTGTCTTCTCAATCAGGCCGTTTCACAGGTGAAACAGTAAAATCCATTACAAGGTTGGGGGTGGGGGCATCCACATTCTTAGCCACATACTGAAGAAAACAGAGCTGTGTTCAGTATTGGTAATCCTAACTCCATGCATTTTTGCATTTACTCTCAGGTGCTTTATCATTGGGTTGCTACCCACCACCACTGCAGGGACATTTGTATCACAAACTTCTGACGGTTCCATCTTACCTATCAGAGGTGGAGATGCTGTTGGCCATTGAAATATTTCTTGTTTCAAATGCCAGTGATATTCAAAGTCCAATGGCTACTAGTCAGACTCTTCAAATAATACTGAAAAGGTTTGTTGTCAGATGTATGTCATTTTGATGGTATTTATTCATATGATCATGTAATTAATGAGAGAGCTTATTTTCCATTGTCTGGCAAAGGCAATGTTCGGGTTTAAACTTGGTTTTAATCCTTGTTTCTAAACTGGTTATAGAACAGTAAAGGGGATGGGGAGGTGTTGTTATTATTGTCATTAGTTTTTACATATGTATAGCAGAAAAGTAATTGTTCCAGAGTGATACTGGCCTGCGTTCCCTGAGTATGTCTGTCCCACTAAGAGTGTACTGTATTTTCAAAACCAGGATAGCTTGATATCTTGGTATATAGAACCCTGTGTTGTGGTTAAGCAGTGCAGCAGAAGGGCACTGTCAAAATATTACTCATTTCAAATAGCTAATCTTGAAATTTCTTGGCTGTTTCTTGGAAAGCAGGTGAAGCCGATTTACTTGATTCTCTTTATAGTGGATATCTTGATTTTTTTTTAGTTTTTCCTATTTCTGTGAGACTTCATACCTTCAGATAAAAATATGTTTTGTTGCTTTTTCCGTTTGTCCATAAACCACCAACCAATGCCACTAAACTATACCCAGACTTTGTTTTTCTCAAGAGCCCTTTTTCTCTGAGATTGACTGGCTCATCATCAAAATGTGATACTGTATAGAAAAGCTATATTTGTTAAGAAATATGAGCAGGGGCATCTCAAACTTGAGAACCCTGTCTTCCTTCCCAGAGAATACATCTCTTTTTATTTTGTTCTTTTGATAAACAATAAATATTTTACCTCAATTTCATGTGTATGCTATTGCACCTCTCCTTATTTGTTTAAAGGGTAAGTTCTGCTTTTGCAAAAATGTAGGCATGTGACTTGGGCACATCCTTATTCCAAACATGATTACACACCAAAAGTAAGTAATCCTTTTGGGTTCAAGTATGTGCATGAATTCTTGCTATATCCAGTTTATAAAATGGTTCACATTCCTTCACTGAATTTTCCAGCCAAGTCAAATATTTCTTCATAAAACGTGCTGACTATTGTAGACCTACTTTGCACTAGCATTCAATCCCATTACTTTTCATTATTGTAGAATATTTTTAAAATACACTTTTCCTAACTTTTTAATTATTTAGAATAATAAGCTAAAGTTTGTCTAGAAATGGACATAGTGTGCTCTAAGTGAAGTGAATCTTAGACATTATTTTAATGTTTTTGTAATCTTGTTGCCAGTATAAAGCATCAGGCAAGTGACACAAGGCCTGTATGGTACCTAACTTTGTGTTTGTGAAAATTCACTTACAGATGCGCACATCAGACAGTTCAGGATAGCAGTGACTACCAGGCAGCAGTGGAGAGACTGATCCAGGCCGCTCGTGTATCTGATCCAAAGCTTTTTCTTAAGCATATGACAATGAATGTTAATATGGAAGAAGTTTACAGCTTGGAGCTAACATCTGCTCTAAAGTGGCTTCAGGAGAATATGAAATGGGCTGGGAAGGTCTGGCTGTTTCAGTAGTTATTAAATAGTCAAGACTTTGGGGGTTTAATGGTTAAATCAATCATTGTTGAAAATAACACAAATTAATAAAGGCAGTTTCCCCTGTGTTCAGACTGTGCCTTACTGATTCACAGCAAGGCTTGAAACCAAGTCATGTTTTTAAATACTTACATTGATGATAATGCAGATAGTAGCACATAAACAGTATTTTTTTTCCCCTGACTATACAGATTGTCACACTGACTTACACAGATGTTTTGTAATGACATCATTAGGTAATGAGGAAACTGCAGCTTCAAAACCTACACTCTATGCTTTTACAGAGAATCCACTTCTCCCATCAGGTGATAGTGTATGTAAGTGCATTGATTGAGTGTATCTACTGTTCTTGATTAAGACGTTTTTCACATTGCTTCATGTTCTGTAAAAGCAGTATGAGTTTCTTTTTTGCCTTCTTCAAAGTATACTGTCCCATCTCTGTGTCCTTTAGAGGTTATTTTCCTTACTCCAAAAACCCAGTAAAAAGCACTTGAGAATGAGGTAACTTCAAAATCACTTGAGACATGCCTGACTTAGTATACTTCCTTCACAGAACTGAGAGTCCACATAAGTTGCTCACACCTGAAGGTTTAGTTGTGTCTTGATAATAACTTGTATATGGCTTCCCACTTGTGTATATGCATTCTTCCACTGAAAAGGAAAACTTGCTTTGTCTTTTGATTGTTCTCTTAGAGGGAAGTGCTTTTACTGTGCTTTTGCCCACTTGTTTAGTTTCTGACGACTGCAGGATGAGATGGAGGCTTTAATCGAGGTTGTTTTTAAGGGATTCTTTTTTCTTTTTTTTTTTCTCCACCTGCAAATCCTGAATGAGATTTGGAGCATTAATTGCTTAAGTCACACTTCAGCTACTGATCTACAGCCTGTGTAAAAAGCAGCAAATGTTTCGTATCAGAAAACTTTCGTGGCAAATCAGTTCATACTTGTCTGAGCTCCCCACTTCTGTAGTGTTAGTTTAGATCTCCTGTACCAACCTTCACAAGCATGCCAATAACACAGCTCTTGATCCTGCTCTCCATCTTTGGAGCTTTTTGTGCTAAAAATTTCTGCTCTCTTGGGTATAGAAGTTCTTGGGGTTTTTACGACTGTTCCATCATAAGAGAGATCAAGATGGTGGCGTAAGCTCACAGTCTGTGAAAAATCTTTTGCTTTTTTGGGGCAGCCTGAGTCTCTTCCCAGTTCCAGCAACATTATTTATTGCAACTGTCCTTTGCGCTTTTGAATCATGAAAGCCATTATGATCTTAGCACTGGGATGTTTGTGGAGGTTTTTCATGGATGGGGTTGTTAGTGTTTTGGGGTTTTTTTGGCTGGGGGGGGCTTGCCACTCTAGTCTTGAGGTTCATGCCATTAATCTGATTATCAGCAGTTAGCTTCATGGTCAGATCCAGACACTTTTTGACACCACTACTCATCCTGTCTGGAAGTCTCTGCTGGAAGAGAGAGGATTGAATATGATGACTGCCATGATCACTGTCTTCCTGCTGTGCTACCTGTACAGAAAAATGCTCTTGTGTTTTCACAGGCTGTCATTCTTCTGTAGGGATCTCACCTGATTTCCTTCTAAAAAAAATGGAAGATTCAGTACTGACAGTTGGGTAGCATTTATCTACTAAAAGCCTCTTACCTCAACATTTCTCTTGCAGAACAGTTGGCACTAGTTCAAGCACACAGTTGGTTCCACTACATGGTATTCGCCAGGATGGCTCTGCCATTTGCAAGGCTATCCACCTGGTAAAATTCAGCAGCATTTTGCTGCTTTTGTTTCCCAGTAGCTGAAATACTGGATAAAAAGTGATGAGGTTTCAGAGGAGAGATCGAAGCCAGTGTTCCTCCAGCCACTCCAGTATTAGCAGCAAGTGCAATTTTGGGAGATTTTGACAAACTAAAACTGGCAGTGAGAAAATAAGTCATTTTTGCTAATTACTTTCTGTAAAATCCTTTGTAGCTTAATCTCCCTTTGAATTAGACAGAGCCTTTCTAAACTTCAGCTAAATCCCACACTTCTGTAAGCAGTACCAGATGTAGCTAACACTGTGAGAAATTCAGAAAAGCAAAATTCTCTTAGTCATCTGTATGGCTTCAAAGTTTGAGATGTTCTAGAAACAGCTTTATTTTCTCCATTATAAGCCACCTTGAATTTTCATTTATATCATCCCCAGGGAAAAAAAAAAAAAGATAAAAAAACAAGTATTGCCTTATTTTTCAGAGGTTAATCATTGACCTTCTAGCTTAACTTGGACTTGCCAAAATTTGTGCAACGTTTTGGCTCCATCTCCCAAATATCATCTTCAGCTGATAGAATGCAGTCTCAGCCCTGTGTTACACTAACAAGGAAACCAAGCTCCCCACCAGGTTGCTGAGATGTTTTGTTACAACTGGTGCATCTGGTGTTTCTGTCAACATAGTGGTTCTCCCTATCACCATGATAAAACAGCAGGAAATTTAAACAACTGTACTGTTAAGTCCCATATTTTGCATTTTTGTGCTGAGTCCATTTGAAATACCATACAAATCTCATCGTGTCGATGTGTATCAAAATGCCACAAAGCAACCTTCTCAGTACCGTTTTGGTGACAGAAATTGTGTGATAAAAAGGACAAAACTCCAATGTGGAATGGAAATAAGCCTGTAAAGATGAAAGAATCTATTCTGAAAAATAAAGTACAACAGAGACAATGCAGTTTTGCAGACCCTGCCATTCAGAAGATACGTTTAGTTTTTCATGTAGGAGATAAAATGTTTACCTGTCTATAGAGAGAGAGAAAAATGTGCAGAAAACTTTCCTGTACTGCTCTCAGTACCTAGGTCTAGACAACACTGTGCTCCTTCAGTATGTTGTTAGATGCATGAAAGTTCCCTTTGTGAATATCTTCCTTCAGTTTTCACTGATTACAAGGTATGCTCTGGGAAAGATTAACTTCTGTTAGGAATGGACAGATTCTTGTAACTAAACCAGAATAATTTTGCTTGGAAGACTTACCACAGTTTTATTTCAAAGCATTGATAGTTTTGAGCGTTTCTTAAGCCTCATCAGGGACAGAGGTAAGAAGCTGGAAATAGCAGCTTGATAGTTTCACAGTGTTTTATAAAGAGCAATTGTGGGGGTCATTTTTCAGTCATTAAGATGTTAATAAATATCTTTTATTATTTCTATGAAGTATCCACAGTATCTATGAGTATTGTCACTCAATTATTTAATTCCGTTCAGATCCCTGTAATTAATATGTTTGGGTATGCAGGAGGACAGGCAAATGGCAAAGCAGACATTGAGAATTTAACATCTTGTAACTCCTGCAGGAATCTAGACTATGATATGCTGTGTGAGGAGGTTAAGAACATGTGAGATCAATCAGACTATGCAGTTTTTCACCATGCCATAGCACATAATTTGACAAATGCTCATGAATGAATTGGGCAGAAATTCTCAGCTGTGGACATGGCCAGCTTCCAGTTTGAACAACAGACCCAAACTGAGGTGACAGTGAGGCCTGTGGGCTGGGCTCCATTCATGGGAGAATTCTAATGGATGTCAATGAGTCTCGCAGGAGGAGAATAGTAAACTTTTATGTCCCTGGTGTAGTAATCAAACTTTTAATTACCAAAATCTTAATGCCATACTTCTCAGCTAGGTGAAGTGCAGGCACATTAAGAACAACTAGTAGTTTGCATTTTTGTCCTTTCTCAGTTTTCAGATGCATCTTCACAGGGTTTTTATTTTTGCAAATCCCAGGTCTACATTTTTCAGTCTTAACCCCTTCGGCAAAACTGTTTTCTAAAATTACTAGTATGATGAGTAATACCAAAAATTAGTGCTGACATTGTTGGCTTCAGATTCTCTGTGCTATTGCGCATGATGGGACTGGAGAAACTGCCCATCTGCAGACCACAGTGCAGAACAGAAACAAAAGATCAAAGAGGAAATGGCTGTTGCCCGCTTGCAGCAACTTGTGATGCTTAAAATTATTCTGTTAGGGGACACGAGGTGTTCAAAACACACTGAACTGGGGGCCAGGAATGGTGCTCTGGCTCCTTTTGGTGGTGGCGTCTACTGCTGAGCTCTCACGATTTACTCTATTCCTCAGAGAGTTAAATCCAGGTGAAATGAACATCATACCTTCTGCTGAATCAATTAAATTTATTTTTCTGTCTTTGTAATTATACAGCCAGTGTACTTGCATTAACTGATGGCTTCTATCAAAGCAAAACCCATGCTTCACATCATGGAAATTACACAAATACCCCACAGCTTGTGAAAACATCAACTTGATTTAAAGTTTCACTGAACTACAGATTCAGCCTTGACAGTTTGCTTTTTTAACCTTTTCTGCATGGAAGTGCAATGGATTGTATGCAGGTAACTCCAATCCGTTGGAGTTAAACCCCCTTTGTTCTGAAACTCGCCAGATCAGTAAACGTTTTTACTCTGAGGCTGCAAGTCTCCATTAGCTGCTTCTTGATACCAGCAACCCTGGGGGAAAAAAAAAAAAAACAAAAACAAAACACATTTGTGCATAGCGCATTACTGATCACAGAGCAATCGCTCTTGCTTTTCCCCCTCGGGGCTGCTCACGGTAGGTTCTTAGCGCCTCTGGTGTTTTCCTCCTGCAGAACAAATAGAATGCAAAGCACACTTAACTATTCGGAGAACTCGCACAAAAAAAGAGCGGCGATTTATTGTGTCTCCATAGGCCCGTGGACACACTCTACTACCAGAAGCAGCCCCCGACACCTAGCACCACTCGCACGAGCGGCTAGCCCCACCGCGGCCCACAACACCATTATCCCCGCCAGAGCTGAAGACACCCCCGCGGCGACAAGCACGGCACAGCCACCTTCAGGCTGCGCCTGCGCGGTGCGGGGTGAGAGAGGCGCACGGAGGCCACGTGAGCGCCGGGGGCGGGGTGGACAGCGGCGGAGGAGCAGCCCTCTGGCGGGAATTACTGCTCCCGCTGCCTAACGTTTGTGGGGGTCGCTGCGTCAGGCGATGGGGGTCGAGCGCTGGCGGGTGCCGTTCGGCCGTGGCGGTAAGAGGCGGTAAGAGGCGGTAAGAGG